CAGGAGAGAGGGCAGGAGGTTTAATGAAGTTCAGAGATTTCCCAAGGCAGAAACTTATTAATCAGGTTCTCGGGCAGATTTTTGTCGAGAGACAAATGATTAAAAAAGTGGAAGAAAGCAAGATTCGTAACAAGCCCCTTGGCTCATTTTATACATGTAAACTTAGTCCTTGTGGTACCTGATTCCTGCTACTCCTTCTAAAGCCTCTGTTAGGCTGTTTTTCAGCCCATCTGTTAGACCCAGACCACTTCAGATTTTTAAAAAAACACTAAGTCTTCACTCTACCATGCCCCATGCCAGGGTTTTTCCATTTGGGGGTAGAAAAAAGCCCCAAGCCCACCAAAACCCTGTGGCTTGGTTTCCTGTCCAGCTGGCTTGCTCTTCCCAGGATTTTATTCCCATCATCAAAGTGGCTTGACAGACCAAGAACAAACCTCTGGCTCACCCTGGACTCACAGTGTACCATTTCCAAGTCAGAACAAACACCAAGTAACAGTGGGAAAAAGAGAAAAAAATTATTTTCCTGACTTAGAAGCCAGTTCAGAGTGAAGCCCAACTCAGACTCCAGACAGGGATGTTGTGCGGCTGTGGTCGTGGCTCAAGGGTGGAGCCATGAGCTGTGGGCCGCATGCCAGAGTTTCTTTCTGAGTCAGTCTTGAAGGAGAAGCCATGGATGGACTCCTTTGTGGCCCGGATCCTCTCTGTTTCCTGGAATCAAAAGCAGCAGCATTTGAGGGAACCTCCCATGATCTTGGTGACTACCTCAGACTTGGCCCAGAGCTTCACAGTTATGGGAGCAGTCAGAACGGTCCCTGAAGTGTCCCAGGTCGCCAGCCTGTGCCAGGTCCAGAGAAGATGCAGAACACTTCAGCCTGGCGGGGGGCTTTGAAGATTGCCCAACTTTCCTCTAGTCATTTAGAAATTTTAAAAATATATTAACTTAGCTAAAAACCTCATGGAAACTAAGCTTCTCATCAGACTTGAAAGTCAGACCCGTTCCCCCAACACTTCCCTTTATGGTTCCACAGACAGAAAAACACCCAGGGTGAGAAGCTGTGACCCTGAGGCCACATGGGAGCAGGCAGTACATTTTCACGCTGAGAGGCGTCCAGCTAGCACGCAGTGTCCCATCGTCAGAAAGCCTGGCTTGCCTTGCCCTTGTTCCCTCCTTTTTAATGCATCCTTTCATGTTCTCAATCTGGTCTCCCTAGGTCCCTAGACAAGCCAGACTAATTCCTTTCCACATCTATTGCCCTCACTCAAAATGACCTTCCTTGTCAACTTTGTCTGTCTAAATTCTTCCCATCTTTCAGGGCCCCGCTGGAATTGCCTCTTCATAAACCCTTTCCGTTTCTCCAGTCCACCCTCATTCATTCTTGCTCTTAACTCCCTACATCCTCTGACAAAGTTTGACTTTATTTTTGTCGCTATGTAACTAGACAACATTCTCTGAGGTCAGAAAACATGCGCATCTCCTCCCAGCACCTAACTTAAAGCTGGATGCTCAGGAGGCTTTCATTCCATCTGCTATCTGCAGGCCATTTCCTCTACCTGTGCTAGATACCTGATGGTTTACTAACCTCCCTGCTTTGGGTTGTTTCCCTTCCTTTCTTGAGTAGCCCTTTCTTTGGCGGGGGAAGTCGTACCTGTTAAACAGTGAAAATGCTAGAATTGCAAATTATATCATTAACGAAGTCTTCAGAGACTGTGGGCTTTTCCTAGTGGGTAGAAGAGTAGGGATAGGAAGTTATGATTGAGAGACCCGGGGGAAACTAGGTAGAGACAAATGGGGGCAGAATTGGGGGTAAAAAAATCAAACAGATGAAAGTATTAAATGACAACAACAAAAAAATGAAACTGCAAGGTACTAGAAGAAAGTATGGGGGGAAAAGTTTGTATATAATTTGGAGAAGGGTTAGACTTTGTAAGCGTGACATAAAACCCAGGAGACATAAATTAAAAAGTAATGTATTTGACTGCATAAAATTAAACATTCTTGAATTGCAAAATAAAATTATAAACACAGTTAAAAGACAAATGATAAACTGCAAAAACGTATTTATAACACATGTGACAAAGCAGATTTTCTTCATATACGAAGAGTTCCTACAAATCGGTAAGGAAAAGACCAACAATGTAAATATACATGGGGTTTGAATACGGTTCACAGAAAAGGAAATTGAAGTACCTTTTTTGAAAATCATATAAAGTGATGTTCAGCCTCACTTATAATAAAATAATTGCAATTTAAAAAAATGAGGCCCGGCCAGGTGTGGCTCAGCAGTTGAGCATCAACCTAGGATCCAGGAGATCGCAGTTCGATTCCCAGTCAGGGCACATGCCCGGGTTGCGGGCTCCATCCCCAGTCAGGGGCCTGAAGGAAGCAGCCGATCAATGACTCTCTCATTATTGATGTTTCTCTCTCTCTCTCCCTCTCCCTTCCTCTCTCTGAAGTTAATAAAGATATTTTTTAAATGAGATACTATTTTTCTCTTACCATCTTGGCAAAAGTCAGAGTTTAATAATCCACTGTGTTGGCCGGGTTGCGGGGAAACTAGAATTCTTACACACTGTTGGTGAAAGTGTAAATTGGTACAGTCTGTTTGAAGAGCAGCTTGTCAAAATCAATCAAAATTTAAAATGTGCAAATATCTTGATCCAGCAATTCAACTTCTGGGAATTTCTCCTCTTATATGCACAAAACTGATGCCATGTATACTGATTACACCATTGTTTTCAGCAAAGTATCTTAAACAGTCTGAATTATTTCAATAGGGGATTGGCACATCCATGAAATGGAACAGTTTACAACCTTTTTTTTTTTTTTAAATGAGTCAGATCTCTATGTTTTTAATAGAATAATATCCAAAATTATATTAGTGGGAAAAAGTAACGCTCAGAAGTTAGTACAGCAGGTCCTCAAATGTCATTCAATGTCATTATGTTATAACGTTGATGAGATATTATAGGAACGTAACTCTTGTTTATATCAATTAGCCTATGGTCAAATTGGTTTTGTTAAATATCCTTTCACTTGAAGTCACAGAACCTATTGACAGTGTTAAGTTAGGACTCACTATATATAGTGAACCACTATTTATGTAAAAATCAACAAGTGGGTAGCTCTAGATTGATGCTTGTAAATGGACAGAATGTGCCTAGAAGGATGTACTAAGTAGTAATAACAGTTGCCTCAGGGAACAGATTGTGGGTAGAGGGTGGGGCATGGAAAAGGAACTTAATTTTCACACCATGTCCTTTTGTACTATTTGAATTATTTTTATACCATTGCATGTGTTACCTATTTTTTAAAACTAATTTTTAAAAAATAACCAGGGGCAGGTATAAAATTAGGCCAAACATGAGGTATGCATGTAAGCTAGGAGTTACAGCAGGGTAGGAGCCAGGGAGCAAACAGATACTCTCGGTGAAGCAAGTCAGTGGGACAGAAGTGAGGCAGGTCAGCCACACAGAGACCTTGAAACTAGACCATTTTGTTTTAAGTCAAAACTATCTGATTGCTTTTTGCGCTAGAGCATATGGCAGCCCTAGGATATAGGCAGCTCAGGACAGAGTGGGAATAAACTTCAGGGAAATGGTAAACTTGTTTACAGGGAATGAGAAGAAGGGGTTTAGGGATCAGTGCATGGAAGTCCACTAGCCAGAACACTTGTGCCATTCCCCAGTCTCATGTTGGAAGCAGAGAAGGGCAGAGAATGAACACTTGGGGCGGGGGGTCTGCCATGGCTGGGTACCGAGGTAGCCATTCTAGTTTCCTAGAGTATGTGAGCTACCATACGAAATACAGTAACTTATAGAGGTGACTAGGGTTCCCACTGTACAGGTCAGGAACCTGATTCAGGTCACAGAGATAAATGGCAAAGCCAGGGCTCAAACCCAGATCTGTCCCTCCTGTTTTTACTACTTGTGCTGAATTATTAGGACACCAAGGAGGTTTGGGCCCTTCTCATGGTCAGGATGAACTGAAGCTCAGAGCCAGGGACCTGTTTCTGTTCCATTCTGTGGAGATAACTAAGCTAGACTCTTTTCGTGCTGGAGCCTGGATATTTGAGACTGTCTCAAATCCACTTCTTGCTACCTTAAGCTCTGACTTTCTGCGTGTTCAGTGCCATACTTTTTTTTACTTTTTAAAAATTTTTCTTTATTGATTGACTTTTAGAGAGAGAAGAAGAAAGAGAGAGAAAAAGAAAACAAAACATTGATTTGTTTCACTTATTTGTGCATTTATTGGTTGAGTCTTCCATGTGCCCTGCTGGGATCAGACCCCGCAACCTCGGCTTATCAGGACAATGCTCTAACCAATGGAGCCACCCAGCCAGGGCAGTGCCATTCTCAAAAGCAAGTCTTCATTCTTTTTTACCGAGACCCCTAAATCCGAGCACACTCACTTTTTCCAGCATGTGGGTCAAAGAGTACAATGAACAGCTCCATTTATTGAGAGAAAATAGTCCATTTATTGGGAATGTCTGCTCCAGTGTTTGTTAATGCTTTCATGTGTTTGTTTTGCAGCTGGTTACTTTAACTCCATAGATGTGGTTTGTCAGGTGTGAGTGCAATTTTCCTTCAGCAGAATGCTGCATCAGTGGTATTCATAACCAATGGTTTTCCCCCTAGATTTGTTCACTTAAGAAGAAATAATAGAATATGGTCCTCCCCCCCCACACCTCCATGTTTTCAAATAACTGGGAGGGGATATTGGGTTTCCTTTGTTTTCAGTTTATTTTAGTTGGAGCCACAGCAGTTTTATCTGTTCTGTATATGCCTAGGCCCAACCTCCACCAAGTGCTTTGAGATTTCGTTTTCCCACTTGACTTACTGATGTGTTCTCACCATTGGTGATTATCTGTTCTTTTCTTTTCTAGCGTTTTATATAACTCCCTAAGCCTCATGACGTGCCTGGTAGAAATTACCCATTTTCTCTTTTCTGTGACCCAGGCGTCAGGGAGAGAAAATATCAGTTTATTTCCTATTCTTTCTAGGCAAAATCCGTGTTTGGTGACCAGAGCTGTGTATATTGATATCCTGTTCCTGTTGACTCGCTGCCTTGACAAGCCCACAGAAGGCAACCAGCCAGGTATGAGTCATAGTTATATCATATTTTGGAATGGTTACAGGTCTTTGAAATGAAGGTGGGGTTTTGAGTGACTCTACCACACACTCCCCCACCTTCTACTTTTGTTAAGACTAAACCACACATCAAAATTAAACATAGTGTCCTATGGTTCCCTCATAGAAGCTTCTCGAGGGAGCGTGTCCTTGTTTAGTTGGAAGCTTGCTGTTTATTTTCTATTTGGTCTTTCAGGGAAGAGTGTGGAATCTGCTCAGATACCGTCTGTGTTTCTAAGACCTTGGCTCTTGCTTATTTCATGTATTTTCTTTGAAAGGTCATCATTTTCAATAACTAAGAGTTCTTTCTGTTCCATTCTGTGGAGATAACTGAGCTGGACTCTTTTCATACTGGAGCCTGGAGACTGTCTCAAATCCACCCCTCCCCACCCTAAGCTCTGACTTTCTACATGTTCCTTGGTCATATATGTTTCCTGGTGCGGGCCCCAGATCCACATACAATTGTTCTATTTTAATCATGATTCACAAAATGGTTTTCTTAAAAGGGAGGAGGGCAACTCCAAATAAAAAAATTTTTGATGTGTTTATATAAGAGGCCACAGGAAGTGCTGTACATGAGTTCCAGCCCACAGACTGAAACTGATTTTCATCAACACAAACTGGAATGCAGGGTAATGAGCCTGCAACTGGTTAAAATCAGCCTCTTCTAATTGATTAGGCCTGTCTAAAGGAGGCTACAATTACAGAGTCAGATTCTGAGTACAAGCAGGCCAGGCCTTTCCTCTGTTAAATTTAGTCTGTCAATGATTTGTTGTCTTCAGTAAATATATTCAGGCTGTCAGAGTCCAGCGCTATCCAGATGGAACCTTGTTCTCAAATTCAAACCAAGTTAAAATGCTTTGAGGGGGAGGTGCGAAACCGCCTCGCCCGGATCAATGCATATTAGCCCACAAAACCCCTGTGGCCATGCAGAGGTAATGAGAACACGCCTGCACTTTCATCAGCTCCACATCCCTGCACAGGGGTAGCGGTTCTGTCCGTTTGGTAGAATAGGATCATATAGTTTTATAGCTGTAAAACAGTCCTCGTTTATGCCTCTCGTCCCAGCATAATTATTCATAGTGCCTCCTTTTACTCTTGAAAGTGTCCAGGTTTGCACAATAAATTACAGGTCACCCTAGCTAGAAGAGACCTCAGGGTTGTGTCCGCTTTGTTTTACACTTGAGCCAACTGGGGTCCAGAGATTATAAATTAGATGTTACCAGATGTAGGTTGTTCTGGGTTTCCATCATTTTTGTATTTCAATTCCAGATTCCATGTAACTTTATAATACTTCTCTGCCTCGTGTCCAGAGGGCCTGAGCCATAAAAGACTTGCTTACTGTTCACAAGTCAAATCAGTGGGATCCTATCACAACTGTGTGGTTGACTGTAATTATTAGTTTATTTGAACTAGATTTTTCTTGACATATTAATACAATTATTCCTTGTCTGGAAGGGTTAACCCTTGAATGTTGTAAAATACCCTCTCTCTTCTCCAACTGCCTGTCCTTTAGCTCCTCCATAAAGATGACTTTGGCCATTTTAAGTCATCTTTTCCTCCAAACTTATCCTAGTATAACAACCGGAGTTCTAAACATTTTATCCTACGCTGTCCAGTATGGCATTCATTAGCCACATGTGGCTCTTGAGCACTTGAGTTGTGGCTGATCCAAATTGAGATGTTTTGAAAGAATAAAATATACATTGAATTTCAAATATATAGTATGAAAAAAAAATGTAAAATTTCTCGATTTTGTCATTGATTACATGTCAGAATGATATATATATGTGTATACACACACACACACATATATATAGCATTAAATAAAATGCATTATTAATTTCACTTGTTTCTTTTTCCTTTTAAAAATGTGGGTACTAGCCCTAGCCGGTTTGGCTCAGTGGTTAGAGCATCAGCCTGCGGACTGGAGGGTCCCAGGTTTGATTCCAGCCAAGGGCACCTACCTTGGTTGCAGGCTCAATCCCCAGCCCCGGTCAGGGCGGTGTGAGAGGCAACCAATCGATGTGTCTCTCTCACATCAGTGTTTCTCTCTCTCTCTCCTGTCTACTCTCTCCAAAAAGCAATGGAAAAAATGTCCTTGGGTGGGGATATAAATAAATAAATAATAAATAAATAAATAAGGCTACTAGAAAATCAAAATTCCATATATGGCTCATATTCTATTCCTGTTGGACAAGTACTGATTTTGTCTAGTCCCTTGGGAATTGCCCTCATAAGCCACAGGATGTATGTGTATGTCCATCTCAATGAATATATGTATTCATATAATGCATCCACACAAGCAGGGGTAACAAATTTTCCTCCTTCAAGGATGAATTAGATTTTTAGAACTAACCAAATGTCGCATACAATGGTAATTAAGAAGGATGGCACTGTTTAGGATAAAAATAAACTTGTAAGCTTAAAATAATGAAAACTATTCTTGTGTGTTTCATAAATTGTTTCCAAAGGCCCTTTGAGCAGTAGCTAAGTATATTACCAACCAAGGTGATCACTAACTTAGATGTGTAGATTTCAATATGATTTCACAATAATGTCATAGCATTATAGTTTTACCTTGTAAGCCCTATGTAAGAATGTGCTTTGCATCAGCAGCATAAGTGCTCAATTAATATTAGCTACCGTTAATAATATCATCATTATCATTAGCTGGAAACCATGCATCTAATCCAGTCCCTTCTGCCTGGCAGAATTAAGCTCTACCCCTCACATTCACAATTTTCCTCCTATTCTTAAACATCTCCAGGAAAGAAGAAATGCTGACTTTCTCAGGAAAACACTGAAGCACAGCATCCCTGGCATAGAATGTCAGGAATCTACTCAATTCGGTCTGCTCCTGTCGCTCTGACTGATCCAGAAAAGGATCATTTTTTGTTGTTGTTCATTTATTTTTTTCATTCATCGGACATGACAGCTAGCGTCAGATACGTTGAGCACCTATATCTGGAGATAGATACACTGGAATATGTCTTGGGCTTATAAGCAGGTACAATAAGGGATTACAGAAAGGAAATGTGTATAGAGTACATTTGAGGCACTAAAGAATGAATCGTCATTTCTCCTGGGGAGGACAGGAAAGGCTTCATAGAAGAGGTGACACTTCTTCCTATGCCTGCATCCTCATAGGAGTCTTAGGGCCCTTGTGAAGCTCAGTTCCTGTTGTCACTGAAAAAGTATGTCACTGAATATTCATTCACAGAGTGTCAAGAGATGTGCAGGTATCATGGTCATTGGTCTCGGGGGTTTGGGAGGTGGGTGAGGAGTGGAGGACCAGACTAAAGTTAAAGGCAACATAGTGCTAAAAGTAGTTGTTTTACAGTGGTGTGATTATAGGGGGGTTTCTTCCTCTTATTTTTCATGGTACTAATTTTATACAGTATAATTCTGTTTTATTCTTATGTGTGTAGGTACATGTATTTCAGTAGTAAACGTATCTAAATATGAAGGAGATTAATTATTCCCAGAGACATGAAATAATATCAATTTCAGAGAAACTTTTTTAGGTGCAGGAAGATCTGCCCATCTCCTCTCAAATACTATTTTGTAAGTGACCTTGGAAGGCTATTCCTACCTCTAAAATGTCTCAGAACCCATTGAAGGGCTGGGGGCATAAACAATGAGAAAAACAGTGAAGGGGAAAGGCAGAGAAGATGATTAAAAAAGCTTAAGATAATGATGTGTTTTGTGTAATTCAAACTTTTATCTTAGTTCTTCCCAATCATTTGAGGTTTTCTCAGCCATTAACTAGGTTTTAAAAATTCCAGATCTGGGGGTTTTGTTTTGAGTTGTAAAGTGATTTAAACCCACAAGGACTCTCTGTCCCCTGTATTCTTTTTCCCCTTCTGAATCCAGCTGTCATCATTAGTATATATCAGTTTCCTGCTGGAAAGAAAATTATAGTCTCCGATTGGAGTTGGGGGCGATGAGGAAGGAACAGCGTAGCTGCCACAGGCCTGAGAGGCTGTTGCAGGCCTGGGCATGGACGTGGAACCGAGAGCTTTCATTCTTGGTCTAAGCCCATCTCAAATTATTTGCTCTCAGGTTGGAAATTTTCCATTGAAATATCTGTTTACTGAAATTCTATCTGAGTCTTGACTAAATATTTACCCTCTTATTCTGAGAGATGGACTTTCTATTTCTCTTTTATGCCCACACCCTTTAAATTTGTGTTTTTCACATCTATCAAATAGAACATTTTCTTTCACCAAGTATTTAAACAAACCTCTTACCTATTTGCATTTTCTGACTTTCAATTGAAGTTCTGTTGGTGTGTTTATGAGGGGTTTTCCTTTCCTACTCTCTATTTTACTAATTTTATGCAACCTGGTTCTTTCTTTTATAACTATATATGTATCATGTATTGAAATACAAATCTTGAAGAGGATTAGTTAGTCCCAAAGAAGTAAAGAAACGACATAATTTCATAGAAATGTTTTAGGTGGAGAAGGGTTTGTCCATCCTATTCCACATCATGTAAGCGACCTGAGAAGGCTGTTTCCCTGCAGTGCATATTAGATGCCTATTCACTCATGGTCAGGAAGCATTTCCAATATCTCGAAGTCCCTGGCTGGGTAGCTCAGTTGGTTGTAGTGTTGTCCTGATACAACAAGGTTGTGGATTCGATCCCCAGTCAGGACACATACAAATAGCAACCAATGAATGCACAAATAAGTGGAACAACAAATCAATGTCTGCCCCTCTCTCTCCCCCCCGTTCCTCTCTTTCTAAAAATCAGTAAATAAAACATTAAAAATATATATCATCTTTCTTGTAGAGATCGTAATAATAATGACCAACATTTATTGAGCACTTAAGTCTATGCCAAGCACTGTGCCAAACATTTTACATGCATTCATGAAGGAGGTACTAGTGGTCCTTCATTTTATTTTATTTTATTTTATTATTTTTTTTAAATCCTCACCTGAGGATATGTTTATTGATTTT